TTGACCAGGTCTGGCCCCTGTGCTTGCTGGTCCACCTCTCAACCAGCAGCTTTGGGACAACCCAAGGCCAATGCCAGAGTTAGCCCTGCATTATGACAGCTCTTGAGGTAAAACCATTTCCAGGCAGCCGGTGTATGGTATATGCATAAGAATCTGCTCCACTGGTAACTTCCTGCCTGGAGGTGCCCAGCTCTACTACGTGGGCCAGCTCTGCTCACCACTACCATCTGATGGTCGCCTAGTTCTTCCTGCTCATACCACTGCTGCTGTCATTTTTTTCTGCCACTCAGCTCTGTTGTAAATGTCATCTTTTCTCTCAGTCTTCAGTGTTACCAGCTCAGTGAGTACACCCAGCTCAATGTTGTAGCCATTGATCTGTATAACAGCTCTCCCAGGAGGATCTCAGCATGGGGCCCCATGTCTAAAGAACTTTCTCCGTGCCTGGCTATCTTCAGCCAAGAAGCCTCATCTGAGCCTTCTAAGGTTTTTGTCAGTCACTGGGCAGGCCCCCCAGCCAGTCCCAGTAAAGGTCAACTACTGGGTGGGCCACCCTAGCCAATCCAGGTATTGTAAACAGACCAATCCTTGCAAGCTGCATATGTGAATAGCAAACCTACCAACCCCTTGCAAGCTAATTATGCGGATAGTCAACTGTGACTAATCCTTTAGCAGATTGTGCCCCAATTAATTATTTTGGGAGAATTATAAACCCAGGGCCTCAAAGGCTACATACAACCCATTGCAGTACAGGTATTCTATCTGAACATGAAACATTTTCATTTTATCATTTCTACCAAAGGGGAAGGGTAGAGGTATTATAAATCATCTTTAAGTGTATTCTAGTTTCAGGTATACCATTTAATGCTTGTGTGCCCACCTATAGGTTATTTGAACTCTGTGGTCACCTAGTTCCTTGAATGTATAATGCAGTGATACCACCTGCTTCCATTTATTTATTTTGTTTGTTTTTTACCATCTCCCAAATTAGAAAAAGGGTTCAGAATGAAAAGTTGTAATACCTCATAGAACTGATGTGAAAAAAATTCTTTTAACTATAAAGGGCTATTCACATGTGCATTATCATTAGTTATTAGTGTTGTCAATAAGCTTACTGTGAGACTGCATACTGCTATTTAAATATCTGAAGCACCAAGGTAAAGATTTTTTTCTTTGTGAATATAGTTCTCCTTTAATATGCTATTAAAGCACATTGCATTAATATATTTATTGCTGTTAACTGTCTTTGCATTCCTACAGTATTCCCTACTCGTCATAATTTATTTGGTTATTCAAACACTCCTTTAAATAAAAGTCTTTAAGACTATGCATTTATTCTAAGTTCTGTTTTAGCTATATTCTACAAGTTTTGATATTCAGTACTTTATTTCTAATGTCACTGAAATGATAATTGTGATTTATTGTAAAATCACTGTCTTTCTTGCTAGAATTTTTTTTTTTTTAAATCCCACTCCTTATTGCTGAAACATTTTTTTTTCTTTTCTTTTTTGTACTTTTTGTTGATGAAACTGGGCCATTTGTCTTACAGTTTTTCATTTTCTGGATTTTGCTGATTATATCTTGTGGTGTCACTTAACAAGATTTCTCCCTATTTCCTAGATTGTTAAATCTAGAGACTTAATCAGATTTGATTGATGTATTTTTGGCAAGAATACTTTATAGGCACTATTATATACCTCCATTAAGAGGCACGTATGTCTAGTTGTATTTTTAATGTTAACGATTGATGATTGTTGCCTAGATCTTAATTAATTAGGGATTACAAAATGGTGACATTCTATTGCAAACAGTCCTTTAATTATTAGTTGGAATATTTTGAAAAAGTGAGCTTCCTCAGATCAACTTTTTTTTTACTACCTTGAGGTAGAATTCATCCTGAAAAGGAAGGATACATGTGTAAATGTTTCCTTTAATCGATTTTTAAAATAATGTGGTGGTTCTTTAGCATTATATAAAGATGAAGAATGATCATTATGAGTAGCGTTATGAATGCAGGGACTTAAATATATGCTATGCTTTTCAATCTATTCATTTATTATTCTTATTGATGCTCAAAATGACTTGGCTTTTCTCTGGAGAAGCCTTATCAGATTGGTTGTTGAGTCCTTTTGATACAACCCCAGTAGGCTTTGATAGCTTTCTTTCCGATATGATATTCCAGGCTTTTCTTGAACATTTTGTGGTACTAAGAATCTGAAATATTTGTTATTCCTTTTAGTGGGACATTGTAGAGACATTGTGGGCCAGGATGGCTCAATGCTATTGGATTTGTCATTTTTTATAGGCTTTTCGAGTGGACATTTGGAAATAATTCTTGGAAATTTTTAAAGAAATATAATGTAGATAGTCTTGTGGTTTGACATTTGCCATTCTGATTAATAATGGAGTTTCTCAACCTTGACACTGTTGACATTTTAGACTGGATATGTGGGGTGGGGGAAGGCTATCCTGTGCATTGTAGAATATTTAACATCATCCCCCACCCCTACCCACTAGATTCCCATAGCACATATCCCTCCACCCCCAGTTGTGACAACCAAGACTGTCCCCAAACATTGTCAAATGTTCCCTGGGAAGGAGCATTTACCCACAATTGGGAAACACTAATTTTCAATGAAGTTTAATGTTTATGGAACATTTAACAAAGGACTAAGTAATTATAATAAATCATGTTTTGGAAAATAAAATATTTCATGATAGTTTAGCCCTGAGATAAAATTCTAATTCAAACTAAACAATAGGACAAATTATAAGGTAGCAACACTATATCTCAGTTAATTCAAAGGTTTTTTTTAACCTTTACTTCTAAAATGTTGCTCATTGTATAGAACACAGGTTATGTTTTAATTCTCCTTTCCTGGTTGTTGGCCCTGAATATATAGCTGTTGTTTTCTGTGAAATAAGAAAAATATTACTAAGCTTGCTTGTTGTGTTGAGTATTAAATAAAATATTACTTATAAGGTATCTAGCAGAGTTCTTCATTCAAGGTAAACTGTAAATAGTAGCTTTCATCGTTCAATAATTTTTTAAAGGGAAAGTAATAGAATGAAGCCTTGAGAAAGGGAACATGAAACCTTATATAAAGAGCAAGATGCCTTTCTTCTGTTTTAGAGTCCTGCCAAATATCACAAAACCTAGACATGATGAAGGACAAAGAAAATAAAGGATTTTTTAGCTTTTTTCAACGCAGTAAGAAAAAGCGGGAGCAAGTAAGTAAATTTTGTTTTCTCATGTATCATTTTATAGATTCTTCAGATCCTTTTTTTAATTGTATGTGCTTTATCTTGAAATTGTAAGTAGATTTTTTATTTTTATCTTTTATTAGACTGCAAGTGCCCCTGCAACCCCTCTAATAAGTAAACCTCGCCCGACTTTGACAAGGTCCAATACCATTTCCAAACAATATATTTCAAACACTCTGCCATCAGATGTACCCAAGAAGAGGCGGGCGCCATTGCCGCCAATGTCAGCATCTCAGAGTGCCCCACGGGACCTTGCCAACACCCAGGAGAGGCCAGCTTCTTGTGTAGTGAAATCCATGAGTGTAGATGAAACAGATAAGGTAAGTAGTGTTCTATTTTGTTAGGGTGGAGCAGGGGCCATCTGTTTTTCCTCTTACCTAATTTATCTTCTCCACATAGATTACTAACATGCTATAAGATTAATAACTGGTTACTAATAAGATTGATAATGGGAAAAGATTATATGTATTGTTCTGTGATACACTAAGGAATAAATATATCAAATTTAAGTAGTTTTAAAATTCAAGCAAATATGATCCATAAACCTTCAAGCCTTGATATACTGAAGTCTTTGCTCCTTTTTTTAAATACATTTTATTGAAATATAATTTATGTACAGTAAAATAATAAAACTAAAGTGACATGGGTCAATGCAACTTTGCTCCTTTTTTAATCATATATGCTCCAGTAATTTTAGGAACAGAAATACTTACTTTGGGACAATTTTTTTTCTTTTTGAAAATATTAACATGGTTTTTATGTTGATCATATGAGTTCCTAAACTAAATACATTTTCTTTATCTGACTTTGATAATATAAGGGGGATTCCTGGTATCTATCTGCCTGGTAAATAGGTGCTCTGGAGGTGCAGTGGTTAACCCCTTGGCTGCTAACCAAAAGGCTGGCAATTTGAACCAACCACCTGCTCCACGGGAGAAAGATGAGGCAGTCTGCTTCTGTAAAGATTAAAACACAGCCTTGGAAACCCAGTGGTTTCCTATTTGGTGTCCTGTTTGGTTGCTATGAGTCCGAATTGACTCCACAGCAGTGAATAAGGTCCTGGTACATAGTTGAATGCTCAATGGTACAATAAATGAGTCTTTTATTATGGAATAAATTGCAATTACTTTTATGCACTCCAGAAATACTGTTTTAGGTGTACTTTTCCTCAAACTTTATTGTTGCTCCTCTTAAATCCAAAATTTTCTTTAAGAATGGCATTTTTATGGTGATCAATTTGTGTTTAAAAAAAAAAAACAAACTCACTGCCATTGAGTTGATTCTGACTCATAGCAACCCTACAGAACAAAGCAGACTGCCTTATCTTGCTCTCGTGAAGTGGCTGATGGGTTCAAACTGCTGACCTTTTGGTTAGCAGCCTAATGCCTTAACCACTATACCACCTCTATTTATTCATATAAATGAATACTTAGATAATTGTGATAGAATATGAGGCCATGTATCTTTGTTTCTTATAATTAGATAAAATATGATTTAATAGTTTTGCAAGCAAGGTTTATTTAGAGGTATTTAAGATACTGAGAAGTTTTCTTGTATCTAGTCAAAAACTGTTATTTCCCATGTGGGAAGCTTTGCAAATTCGGTGTTCAAGAAAATTATTCATCCCATCTACCTAATACATGTTTCTCTTCTTCTTTACCTAACTTTTTAAATATTGAATTTAATGTAGCTTTTAACTGCAGTTTATAAACCATCATATATATCTTTAGAAAGTAAATAGGAACTCTAAGAGAAACGGACAAAAAATACTTTAACTCCATAGTGATTTGGAAACTCATCTATTTAAGCTGTCTTCGTATTAAGTGCTACCAAAGTCCTTTTTTTCTTCCCTTATATAGTAAATCTTAGCCCCTACTCTCAAATCTTTATTCTAGGTGTCGGCGCCCAGTCTGTGCCCAGGGAACTTCTTTTGTCTTGGATCCCCAAGAGGCCTATGTTGTCTTTCTAATAGTCTGCTTTTTAAAAATCTAGGCTATGCTACCAGTGACCTCACCAAAAGCCATTTCTTTTGATTTTCACCCTCTGCTCTATGACTGGCTGATGCCCTCATGTTAAGTAATCTTTTTTTAGTATGTTGCCTTTGGCAAATCACACATCTTTATACAATTTTCTAATTATGTTTTCTTTTGATCTGGACATCTGGATAGTTCTTTGATGTGTTCTTCAGTAGGACCCAGAAATATTTGTTTTTCCCTAGAGAAGCTGAAGAGCTATTTTTTTTATTTATTCATTACAAAAATTCTTACTGATTTAGCTGTGATCCTATTTGTGAATGTATGTGCATGTGTGTGTGCATATGTACATGCTTGAACATGTGATCTCGTGCCTTAAATTTTTGGCAATATTTTATGTGATTGATGGCCCCTTGGCCTTGATGTTTTTCTCACCCTTGGTTGTGTTCTGCTCTTATATCTCAGCTCTCATTTCTATTTTTTTCCCTGCCTCCACTTCCTTTACCCCTTTTCTAAATTTGTTGTTGTTGGGTGCCATCGATTTGATTTCATCTCACAGCGACCCCATGTGACAGAGCAGAACTGCCCCATAGAGTGGCTTTCTTTCTTTCTTTTTTTTTTTTTAAATACCTATCTATCAGTTTTCCCTCCCATTCCTGGTAACCAACAAAGAAAGTCTCCTTGGCTGTAATCTTTATTGAAGTAAGTCACCAGGTGTTTCTCCTGCAGAGCCACTGGGTGGGTTTGAACCACCAACCTTTCCCTTAGCCTCCAAGTGTTTCATTGTTTGTGCTGGCAAAGGCACTCAAATCCTTGGTTTTACTCTTGAACTATTATACTCTCTCATCTATTCCATGTGAATTCATGTGCTCATGATTCTCAACTCTGTAATTCCAATCCCAGTATTTTTCCAATTGCACTTGTTTGTGCTCCCTCCTGCTTATTGACTCATCCTGCCTGGAACTCACCATATTTAAAATCAAATTTGTACTTTTTTTCTCCCAGATTGAAAAGCCCAAGATCATCTTTGATGTGTTCTATTTCTTTTCACAACCAGGTAGCAAGCAGTCCTTCACTCACTCTGCCATCATAATGTCTCTTGTCCTTCCCTCCATCCCCCATACTTAGAGATATCCAGGGCAGAGCTTGAGAGAATCACCAGGATTTGTCTCTCCACTTCTTTGTTCTGAATACTATTGTGGCTGCAAGATTTATATTTCTTTATTGTCACATCCCAGATCAGAAATTTTGCAGAGGTGGCTGTTATTTTCTTGACACTCAAAGTCTTTGACAAATTGATGTCGATGTTACTTGTAACTTTTTAACTCATCACATTCACCATGCTTCTAACTCTAATCAGAAGACGTGACTCATTGTTTCTCATAGAAAATCTCGCTTCTTCTCCTTTTAAAGTAAGGGGTCCACCTCTGTCTTCTTCATCTCTGTTCACCCATTCAATTTACAGCCATACCTCGTTTTGTTGAACTTCGCTTTATTGCAATTTGAAGATACTGCATTTTTTGCAAATTGAAGGTTGTGACACCCCTGGGTCGACCAAGTCTATAGCATCATTTTCCAACAGTGTGTGGCTTACTTCATGTCTCTGTGTCACATTTTGGTAATTCCCACAATATTTGAAATGTTTCATAATGCCATTGTAACTTGATAGTATAGTGTAAGCATAACTTTTATATACACCGGGAAACCAAAAAATTTGTGTGACTTGCTTTATTTCATATTTGCTTGATTGCAGTGGTCTGGAAACATATCTCCAAAGTATGCCTGTATGCCTTTTGTTTTATCTGCTCCATGAGAATTTTGTAAAGATTCTAGCTCGGAGTTATCTTTACTTTCTCTGAATTTGCCTCTCTTGTGCTTTTTCATTTTGTATGCTATAATTTATGTTCTTGTATAGGTAATATATTCCAAATCAAAACCAAACCAAACTCACTGCTGCCGAGTCAATTCCAACTCATAGTGACCCCCCCTTGGGTTTGTAAGGCAGTATCTCTATGGAAGTAGATTGCTCAATCTTCCTTCCGAGGAGTGGCTGGTGAGTTTGAACCTCCAACCTTCTGGTTAGTAGTCAAATGCCTTAGGCACTACATCACCAAAGAGCCTGGTAGTATATTCGCATGATATAAAATTCTAAAGATGAAAAGGGAGATACAGTGAGAAGTGTCTGTCCTGCTACTAGCCAGAAGCAGTCATATTGACAGTTTCTTGGTGTTCTTCCACAGATAATGCATACATACTCAAAAAATTATTTGTGCTACATGTTATTTTTTTTCTCCCAGATGGTCATATGCTATATAGATATTGTGGTAGTTAAGGTTGTTGTCAACTTGGCCGAGCCTGGTTGAGTGGCTGGGCAGCTGGATGTAGTTATTCCCCAGGGTATGACTGGCAATCAATTCCATGGTAGAATTTACTGGAGCAGCTGAGTAGCTACTTTAGAAGTGGTCTGCTTCCAGTCTATGAGAAGCAGCTTTGAGGAAGGTCTCCAGTTTTTTGGCACACTTGAACCCTGCATGTAGCCAAGTCATTGTTCAGCAGCCTACCATGCCTTGCTGATCTTGGGACTTTTCCTGGACATGAATTAGTGGCCTGCTGCATTGTTTGGTAACATTGGGACTCTGCCTTTTTACTTGTCAACTTTGGGCTCATCAGGCTCAGCAGCCAGCAGTTAATTTGAGTGAAGAAAAGCCTCCAGCGTCAGTGGACAGGGCAGAGCTGAAGCCCAAGAGTGAGGGTCTTTCACCCTGCCACTACAGCCTTCGAACTCAGACTTAAAGCCTCCAAACTGAAAGAGAATAAACTTCTGTTTGTTCAAATCACATATTTGTGGTGTATTCCTTTCAGAGTGGCACTAGGTAACCAAAACAGATCATATCTCATATTTTGGTATTCAATTGTGTTATTTTAAAGATTCTTATCAGTACACCAGGAGCTTCCTCTTTTTAAAGGCTATGTTGGTATTACATAGATGAATATAATATGATTAATTAATCCTGTTTTCTAGAAATAAACATTAAAGTTGTGTTGTTCTTGTTTAAAGCTTATAGTGCTGTTAATTTTTCCCTTTTTTCTTTCCCTGATCAGAAAGCAGGAATTGTATTCTGTAACAATATTGTGTAATATAATAGGGGTTCAAGAAAATTAAAATATAGGCCACAGCAAAACATACGGCTGTTGTTATTAGGGGCCATTGAGTTGGTTCCAACTCATAGGGACCTTACATACAACACAATAAAACACCGCTCAGTCCTGTGACATACTCAAGTCATTACTGTGTTTGACACCATTGTTGCACCCACTGTGTCGCTCCATCTTGTTGAGGGTCACAT